GTGATAAAAAATCCGATATTTATAGTTTTGGTGTGATTCTATGGGAAATTTCAAGTGGACGAGTACCGTTTAACGATCAAAAATCTAACTTATCAATACTTTCCAGAATATTAGAAAAAGATAGAGAAACACCTATAGCCGGCACACCAACTCGATATATTGAACTTTATACTAGATGTTGGGATGAAGATCCCAACAAACGTCCAGAAACAAGATTTATCCTTGAAGATTTAAATCAAATCATTCAAGGAACTAAAGATCATATTAGAACATACGATGTTCCTGAAAATTTACATCAGGTTCCTTCATCTTTGAGCTTTACTTCTGCATCACAATCACATGACGGTTTTTATACAGCTCCATCTAGTATTCAAACACCTAATAACTGCATAGATGATGCAGATACGCTATATAATCACGGAAAATTTTGTTACTTGAGGGGTAGAAATGAAGAATCTCTTATATATTTAAACAGATCATTAGAACTTAGAAAAGATAATCCAATTGTATTGAGAAAACGAGGGACGATTTACCGTCTATTAGGTAGATATGATGAATCACTTGCTGATTTAAACAGATCATTAGAAATTGAGCCAAATAATGTAATTGCGTTAAGAGAACGTGGTGAAACTTATTATAATATGCGAAGATACGATGAATCTCTTGAAAATTTAAATAAGTCTTTGTCTATTAAACCAGATGATGTACCTACGTTAAAGAGACGAGGAATCATTTATCGTATGATGGCCAAATATAAAGAAGCCCTAGGTGACATAACAAAACTACTTGAAATTGATCCTAGAAATGCTTTGGCATTAGCAATCCGTGGTTCAATTTATCGCATGATGCACAATGATAACGCTGCACTTGCTGATGTACTTAGATCATTAGAAATTGAACCAAATAATGTATACGCCCTAAAACTTCGAGATCAACTTACAAAATGGTAGAAATCTTAATAATTTAATAATTTTTCGTTATTTGAGTCTTTCATAATATTTGAATTAATTATATAAAAAGAATTAATTATATTTAATGACCAAGTTTTATCGTATTTGTCGTCGTAGAGATAGTAAATATTTCATACAGTAATGTAAATACTTGAATGTAAATATTTTGTACTGTAAGGTTGGGAGATTTATTTAATTTATAAAATTGATTTAATTTATAAAATTTAACTAATAAAATTTAATTTAGACATTTAATTACTGTATACATTGGTTTAATCATGTAATGTCATTTTCTTTTTTCAAAATTCCGGCTATTTAAAGGTACTGTTTTTGACTTGCATGTGTTAAAATAGACACTTTAAATAAAGGATAGTGGGCGTGGTAGAAATAATGATTTGTACTAGAATAGTTCAACGTTTCTTTATTTTTAAATAGATACTGTATCAAACCATAAATAGAAGAATTAAAAGCTAGTTTTTAATTACCACTAAAATCGTGTTCTTTTTCATCTAATGATAGGCACGTATACGTAATAATTTTAATGTCGATAAAATTTATCCTTTTTTGTGTTATGACAATTTTTTATTCTAACCGAAAATAATAATGATAATAATAAGAGCAAAAAACTATTCTAATGAAATGTTTTTTAGCTATTTTAAAAATAACATTCAAAGGACCTTCAAATTTATACGTATTTAATTAAAATTATTATTACTATGCTGATATATCAGTTTGCAACTAACGAGCCAATATATCAGTTTGAAACTAACGAGCCAAGACAATACAAATGTATAAATACTACATTCATATGTAAATAAATAATTTCTCCAAAAAAAGAAAAGAAGGAAAAAAGGAAAAATAAATAAATAGTTCTAAGATAATAAGATAAAAGAATAATGAAACTTAATCACAAATAAAATAAATCTCATTCTCACTTCTCGCATCATCATGATATTCACACAACCTAACACCCATAGATTGTAATTCCAAAAATTTTTCTTGAAATTCAAGGCACCAAAATTCGAAATTATTCTTATTAAATATTATTTTTCTTGGCATATTCAATAAATTTTCTTTTGCACATTCGCCAATGATTTCAACGGTTTTGGGATCAAGCTTCTTACAACTTCCAAAATCCAATACATCAAGTTTTACCGACATTTCTTTTAACAAAATTTTTAAGCTCGAATAAGAAATATCTTTATACATTGTAATAATAAACGTTTTTAACGTTTTTGGAAAGTAATTAACCAACATACGATAATCATCATCTGTATATTGATTAAAAAATGGGTTCCATATAGAAAGTGTTTCTAATTTTGGACATGATTTTAAAAGATTAAAAAGTAATGGGATCGAGTGAAAATCAATGGTCGATTCAAAATGAATTAAATTTTGACTACAAAATGTGGCTATGGTTCGTAAAATTGTGGATAATTCTACTGAATGAATTTGAATATTTAAATTAATATGTGTTAATGGTGATTCATATACATATCCTTCATCATTAGATCCCCCCTTATTTTCGTTATTATCTTCATTATTATTTTCATCTTGTTTTAATGTATTTTTAAGTAACTGTTCAAGATCTACTGGAATAAATTGTTGACCAATAAAAATCTTTTTTAATTTTGGAAATGGTCCCACACCAAGTGGCATTTTTACCAAATTTTGATCACTATTTTCAATCCTCAACTCTTCTAATTCCGGCCAACAAAATACTTTTGATGGTACATGATTATCTTGAATAAATGAATTTTTTATAATTATCGATTTCAAATGAGGTGCTTGAGACTCCAAAGCTGCGAATATTTTATGAATAGCATTTCCAGCCATATATGATGAATAATTGGAAATTACTATATGTTCCAAGGAAAATTGTGATGTTATTAATGAAATTGCTCCAAGGTTACCAGTATTCAAATCTTGAAGTTTTAATTTTTTTATTTTTTTACAAATTTTGGAATAATATTCTTGATATGTTTCATCATCAACTCCTTTAGGCATGAATTCTACAAGATTTGATAAACAAATTTTGGCGTTAGGTAACCTTGGTATAACTCCAAGATAATCTACATTCTTCATACTATAACATTGTTGAAATTGAAGATCCAATAAATCAAGTTTTATTCCCGCTGTTAAAAAAATCTTGAAAAATTCGATACTCAATGTTGGACACCATGCTGCTTTTATTTTTTGTTTTTCTTCAGTTCTGTATTGTGATATTTTTGATGACCCTGTTTCATTACTTGCTGATGGTATGGTGATGTTAAAAGATGATGCATTATAATTATGTCGTGCTAAATTATGCCAAGTGTTTGATGGTGTAATTTTGAAGTTAACAATGGTTTCATCAATGATTTGAAGTGGTTCAAGAACCTCCAAGTACCATTGTTCTAAACATAATATAAAAGTTTCATATTTAAACTTTCGTAAAAAACATGGATAATAAAATAAATTATTGTTAAATCTATTTTTAATTGAATTGTTGGAATAAAAATTACTAGAACTACTACTAGAACTACTGTTAGAACTACTACTACAAACACCATTCATTTCAACATCAGCGTCATAATAAGTTGGTAAAAGGTAATCAGGTAACTTTAATCCTTGAATCAAAAGCATGGCTCTAGCATCATCACTAAGAAACCTTGAATAAATATCAACAATTTTATCCGATGGTTTCGTAAAATCAATTAGCATAAAAGGTTGTTTCCACAGTATTGGTACCGCGGATTTACACCAATCCATGCTCACTAAAGTGCATGAATGAAGTGATTTTTTATCATCTATTAAATAATTGAATATATGATCAAGAATTTCTGGAAATAATTTCATTATAAAAAACAGTTTTTGGATAAATTTCGTTTAGAGTGAGTGATACCGGAAAAAATTGGTTACCTTGAATGATTTTTAATGCGTATCGGTATTGCATACGTACGTATATTTCTGTATAACGTTTCACAAATTGTGTACGAATTAACGAACGGTAATCCTGTGGCGTAGTGCGTATCGATGATTTATTTGTTCAAATCAAAAATAATCGTTACGTATACAATATACGTATTTAGTATATATGAACAATCATAAAAGTACTGTAATTTTTATTCTTTTTAATAAAGTCCTGTTCAATGTCATTTTAAAATTCCTAATTTAGTTTTAAACATACAATTATCTTCCTTTTTCAGGATTTGTGTGGCGTTTGTATGGTGATTATGTATAATGACTATGTGCACAATTGCAGGATAGCAACAAGATAACTAATAACGATAACGCTAAAAAATTTAAATTATTAATAATTTTAATAATGGAACCTCCTGAATTACTACCTACGTACGTAATAAGACCTCTCAATAATAGATGAGAGTTCTTCCCTTGACAATGACAGACCTTGCAGATATTGTAAATTATATGATCTAAGCATGATTTTTAAGGCAAAATTCCCCAGTTGGTTTAGCATCAAGATTTTAACCTCAAGTGAGGAGGAACAGTATACGTACTCCAAATCACAGAGTATTTGAATTATTTCATTGGTCAACCTCGCAACGAAAATTTCAAACTCCCTTAAGTTAGAATTGGAGTTCAAGTTAAGGTTCAATATTACTAAAATTGTACAAGGGGTTTTTCTCTTGTTAAAATACTAAAGGTGATTTCTAAATTTCGAATTAGCGTTAGACGTTTTTTTTTTTTGGATCTTCTGGATCGTGTTACGTTACATTACATCGGGATTTTTTGTTATTGATGCTAATATTAGTAAAATTATGCAGGATTTATAATACGTATCAGGTATATTTTAGTTAAAAAACATATGTAACCATGATTATACTAATGAAATGGCGATACGTATCTATATGCCAAAGCTTTAATTATTATAGTTGTGCTGTTAACTTTCAGATTTGTCTTTAAATTTTATATGCATTTAGT